AAAAAAAAAAAAAAAAAAAAAAAACGAAACTAAAGTCAGGAGAAAGTCAGTCTGGGAAAAATGTGCTTCAAGATATTGAAACAAAAGCTCCGTGTTCTCTCCAAAAATCATTTAAGTGAATAAAAGACGGTCCTAACATGGTTTCTTGCCCCCTGACCTAATTCCCACGTCCTATTTCAGGCACCGGCTCTCGCGTGATCACTAATATTCAGCCTGCCGTTTACCAACCTGCCCCCATGCCTGAGCTTCCGCAAGAAGGACCCTGTCGCACCGACTCTGGACTGTCCTATTTTGTTGGCCAGCGCTGGCTTAGGAGTCAAGGAACCAAACAGATGATGTGTACCTGTTTGGGCAATGGCGTCAGCTGTGAGCAGTGGGGTAAGTTTTGCTCTTCAGTCATATGAACCAAGCTGTCATTTCTAAATTGGAGTTTCAAGTCCTTGTAAAGTGAAACTCAACACGTCTTGTAAATGTGACACACCACAGAGAATGCACGACTGAATTCGATTGAATTAAAAAAAAATCACCTAGTATATAAAATGAGGCTTCAAAATCGTGAAAAAAAAAAATCAAGGCACTCTCAATCGCTGTGGCCGCGTCTGAACACTGAATGTACGAAAACCACGCCTCCGCTCAACTGTCAACAAATCTCAGAATTCACTCAAACAACAATGTCACACGGTTGTGTTTTCATCCAGATGGCCCGGCTCCAGTGTATGGGGGCAACTCGGGAGGTCAGCCTTGTGTATTCCCCTTTGTCTACAAGGGCAAGACTTACCACGCTTGCACCTCCGACGGACGTGCTGATGGACAGTTGTGGTGTTCCATCTCGTCTGACTTTGAGACGGACCAAAAGTATTCTTTCTGTACAGAAAAGAATGGTGAGCCGGCATTGCAACTGCCAAAAATGCAGTATTTTGGAGCAACTGGAAATTTTGCTGTCTCCTTTCCCAGTAATCGTGGCAACGAGGGGCGGCAATTCAAACGGCGCTCTGTGCCAATTCCCCTACTTGTACAACGGCCGGAATTACACCGACTGCACTGCCGACGGACGCCGAGATGGCATGAAGTGGTGCGGCACTACAACAGACTATGACGGGGAACAGCGCTTTGGATTCTGCCCCATGGCTGGTAAGTTGGAGTGCAACCTGAAAGAGAAGCAAATCCAGCCGTTGGGGCTGGATTCGCTTCATCGCGGCGAAACAAAGGCAATGAAAGACATCTTTTAACGTGTCTCGCAGACAACGAGCCATTGTAAATCATACCTGCAAGCCACATATGTTTCTTAAAATCATAACACATGCGTATCACTGTGGTTATTGTTCCTAAATGTACAGTCCATCTTCTCAATACTTTAGCCACAGAAAACAGCGAAAGTCTAATTCCCAATCATGCTCCCAGACGATCAACATTTCTCCTAGCCGTCTGAAAAAGGTGACGGGTAACTCAATTAGCTTGTAAGCTCGTAACAGGGTGGAGTTAAAAGGACTTGGCTGAATCTTGTTTTCAGCTCCGACACCTCGCCCCAGGCAAATTGAAGTCATTTGGCTTGTAAGGGAAGTGTTGTTTTGTTGAATTGGTGCCAGTTAGACCTCTGCAGGCAACAAGAGGTGCTGAAGGCAGTGAAACACCAGGGGGGGTATTGACGCTAACGTCTGTGAAGTACTAAAGAAATGGTCCCGATGATGTGAGCGGCGCGTCAAATGAAAGTTGCCAACCGGCTGAGTTAGGTAACATACGTATCAACTTGAGTCCCATGACTAAAAATCTTTCGACAAACGTTTCGTCTGGGTGAAACAATATCCGCTGATAGCAAGGAGAGTGAATCCCAAACAAATCTTTTGAGTGCTATCCTCCAACAAATCTTTGGAGAACGAGCCTGCATCAAAAGCATCTTGGACTTCAAAGTTGGCAGATGAGAGATAAAAAAAAGAAAGAAAAGAAAAAAAGAGTCTGGCAGCAGACAGTAAAATGTGGACGGGAGACACTGGAAACATCTGCAACAGTGAGGTAACATTGTGGAGAACTTTGTGTTATGTAATCCCTTCATTTTTGTTATCATCTCATTTTGTAAAGACGCAGCCAATCAACGTTGCCCTCCTCTCAATTGGATCATATGATAATTCAATTCAGTGTTTTATTTTCATATGAATAAATCTCGGGGCCCAAGTTTGGCCTGCAGCCAGTTGTTAAGAAAACAGCCCGTCATGGTTTTAAGAGAGTGTGTGTGTGGGGGGGGGTTAGGTTGCCTTCGAGCTCCAGGGGGCCTTTGATTCAGACTTTAATGACTTAACAAAGACTGTCAAAATAAACATTGTAATTGAGATGTTAATGGCGGATGGTTTAAAAGAGGCTCGACACCCCCACTTTTTTTTGGGGGGGGGGTCTGTGGCACTTGTTGAAAAGGTTAACGCTCTGTCAGCCATGTGGTCTTTTGGAAACAGTTTGTAGCCATCAGGAACAATTTGCGTCAAATGCTCTCTCGTTTTGACTCCATACACTGAAAGTCAGAACCATGATGAATAATGTGCATATCCCCAATCTGAAAAGTCTGGACTTGGCCCCCACAGGAGCATTGAACCTTACATTGGAGTTCATCTGAATCCCTCCATGTACTTAAACGTAGCCTTCCAGTCACAGTCCCAGCCTGTTTATTTTTTTTTTTTTACCACATAGAAAGGGTACCTTGACGTGCCTTGTGTAATTCAATTTAAACCAAAAGTGGTGCACACTTTTCTGGAGAAGCAATCTAAACAAAAACAAACCAAAACCCCTTCAGAGGCCAGGTGGTGTGGACTCATTGCAGGTCTATCTCATGGCTGCATTCCAACGCAGCAGATGTACGATCTCCTCCCGCTGACACGATACCATAGTGTTGCTTGTTTAGACTGAACCAAACAATTCCGGCGCAACGCCTTCCACGGTCGGATTTTTAGATAGCACACCAGCATCCTGCGATGCGCCTGAACACGACTGAACTGTCCCGCAGCGCGCGGGAGTGTTTCCAGCTAGTTTTAATGACCACTTGTGATCACAAGTGAAGGCCACGCAGATGGAACAGACAATCGATTTTTAACAACAAACTGATTTGTAAATTTGAGAGATCCCACGCAAAAATCACCAATTGTGTTCTTCAACCGGATTGTTGGTACGGTATTTCCATTTGAACCATCACACTGCCTTTAGCAACAATACTTTGAACCTGCGGAAAACTGTTTTTATGGCACATGACGCTCACTTTACGAAAAATAGCGCAGTCGTGAACATCATACAGCATAAGCATAAAGCATAAAAATGCACGTAGTCAACGCGAGCATACTTTTGGACTATCTCTATTTAATGTAGGCCACATGTTGAACACACAATCATTCCCAAAAAGGCACACAGGACAGATGTTTCTGTTTTTTGGTCGTTACGACATAGATGCTCTTCGGTCCCTACTCGGCTCATCAACGTCCTGATTTTCACTCGTGTCTTCCAGCCCATGAAGAAGTGTGCACAACCAGCGAAGGGGTCATGTACCGCGTGGGGGACCAGTGGGACAAACGCCACGACGTTTTGGGTCACATGATGCGCTGTACTTGTGTGGGCAATGGCCGAGGGGAATGGAGCTGTGTCGCCTACTCCCAACTTAAAGGTATGCGCTGTGTGGCTGGAAATGGGGCCTCTCTGTGTGTTGGGATACCGGAGAGCAGTATTGATATCGCATATTGAGTGACAAGTTGAAAGGTCGTGGGTGATGTATAATGAGCTGCATGTCAACAAGGTTAAAACTGTGTACTCACACCTGCGCATTGCGGGATTCCAGTTGCACCTGCGCTACACACGCACGCCAGATGTTCGCCAGCCGTGAAAGACGTTTCATTTGGCATTTTTGACTTTTTTTTTTTTCTTTTCAGACCAGTGTATTGTGGATACTCTGACCTATGAGGTGAACCAGACCTTCACCAAGCAGCATGAAGAAGGCTATATGATGAACTGCACCTGTTTTGGACAGGGGCGTGGCCGCTGGAAGTGCGATGCTATTGGTGGGCTGAAGTTCTCTCGCAAAAGTTTAAGGAATGCAAAATGGACAAGAGGAAATGTAGACGTTAGCCCAGCGGATTGGGCCCACGTGTATACAAACAAAATTAAACAACGTAAATCATAGCTTGATCAAAATATATTGCACATAAAAGTTAAATGCACTAAAATACATTTTTAACAGGTCTTAAACAAAATCTCCAATGTAATAAGCTTTAAAGTTAAATACAACTGAACTGTGCCGAGGCAGTGATTCTTTCGAGCACTTTTAGACGGAGCTGCACTGAATCCCCCTGGCGCCTCATGTTAAAAAAAAAAAAAAAGTCTCAGTGGAAGGTCCATTGAAATTTCCAAACCATTATTCCAACCCTGTTTTGATGTACCTGCCTGCAGACCAGTGCCAGGAGCCAGAGACAAGAGCCTTCTACCAGATTGGCGAGTCTTGGGACAAAGTCATCCATGGAATCATGTACAAGTGCTATTGCTATGGTAACAGCATCGGAGAGCTCAGCTGCGAACCCCAGCAGTCCTATCCTGGTAAGATACTTATGAGTGGCATGGCTAATTTCGTGGTGAATGCTCATTCTTGACTGATCCTGTCAAGAGTGGTGATCATTTAAAATTCTAAAAATGGTGTCAAAGTTGCGGTTGTAGTCTAACAGTTGGATAGAACTGCAGTGCATCATCCTGAGACGTGTTTCATTAGCTCCCTGTGGAGTTAAATGATGCTAGCTAGACCCATTCTCCACCGCAGTAAATTAGTATTACCATGGAAATATCTCTCTGACTGTCAATCCGAACTGGGCCTTATATTTTTGTAAAGGTAATATTGATGGCATACTCACATTGGAAGTGAGAAGTGTCATAAATTACATTTAAAAGGTGGGGGCCCTTGACTTTGATGTGTGAGAGAATGAGATTGGTGGCGTGTGAGTTACTCCAATGCAACCCCACACCCCAGACACACACACACAAACACACACTCACACACACATTTGGAGCCTTTGTTCCAGCGAGCATGCGGCACTTCCCCTTGCCGTTTCCACAGCTGTACAGCGTGCAAGAGCGTCTCACACAGACACACCACGAAATGTACATCTCTCAAAGGACGATTTCACATTCGCAGATTTTCTTGATTATTTCGAATGTAAACCAACATGAAAAGAGTTTTAGTTCGGGTTAAGCAGTGCCTCATCACACGCTGTTTGCCGCAAAGGTGGACTACTAATTTATGAACATTAGCGTTCGCCAAAAATCAGAAAATTCTAGGAGGTATACTTTATGGAGCATTTACTCTGGGTTAAGCAGGTTGATGAGGGATAAAAAAAAAAAAAAAAAAAACAATGTAAGGCACGTTCCAGCTGTAACTGGCCGTAATGGCAACTAGCTGTGGTGTGAGTGTGTGTGTGTGTGTGTGTGTGCGCTTGGGTGTGCCATACAATATGGCTAGATTTTAAAAGTGAGAGTGAAGTCTGGGCTCTAAGTCAGCATACAACCATAAAAGGTATAAAAAAAAATAAATAAATAAATAAAAAAACAAAAGCAAAAGCCCAATGGGAATGCTCACTCAGCTCCTTTATGATAAGATCCTTTAAAAGGCTTATTCGCTTTCATTGCTCTTTTAACTGGAATGGAACTCACTCTTTGGTAGTTTTTTTTTTTTTATTAGTTCAATAGACCAATTACATTTTATTGTAAGTAAATGAAACACGTTTACTGTATTTAAAAAAAGATAAAGCATACAGGAGCAGTTATATAGCATAGCACACGAATAAATTTGTGCCATTTGTATGTATCGTATATACATGACATTCAATGCGAAGAGCATTGACTAATGTGATGTGTGGGAATCCACCCTCTACTCGTCAGTGGCCTGTGGCTGTGCGACAGCCTTTCATTGGTCCCAGATTTGTTTTTGAGGTCCGTGTATCTGCGAGGACGTCAGGTTAACCGAGCCACTTACTCGGAAACCCTGATTACAGGTCCGCCGTTTGGAAAAGTGGTCAGCAGCCTCAGTTCTTTATTGAAGCTACCAGTTGCGATCAACGGATCTTATGTCGGGTCTGCGCGCCACATGGCTTCGGTTGTAAGATGGCATGATACCTTCTCTTCTTTTAGTTTCCCAAACAGGAAACGTGTTAGGCTTCTTCCTTGACTCCTTCTGCTTCTCGAATGTACAGTAAATCACAGATGTGACTTCGACACCGATGACGTAATAGGCTTTTAAAATCGGAACTGCCGTCAGCCACCAAGAAAACGATCGCACTTCAAGGTTTTCCAGGCGATCGGGGAAAATTGTTTGCACAGATGGGGGGCAGATGGTGAATGGTTTTTCGGCACAAGGCAGCAAACCTCAGCGGTTTGAAAATGTTTCGTATCAGTGCGCTTTGACATACTTGTGATGGGTGTGCCCTTTCAACACCCAGGAGATAAATAATCATTTGCTCCGTGGCCATTATGATGTGGAATCCTAACAAATGCATCGCAGGTCCGTTCTCAGCTGCTGTTTCGACCGTGTTGAGCAATTTGACCATTGGGTGCGAGAACGTGGTCAAGAAGCTTCATGTGTTTCTATAGCTCTCGTCCTCGTTGGGGTTGCGGGTGAGCAAGAGCATTTCCCAGCTAACTTTGAATGACAGGCAGGAAACAACTTGGACAGAATCGCATGAGTTCATGTTATCGTTATCCCAAAACAATTGTTTTGGCCGTACGGACTTTAATCTGAATTCCACTGAAAAACGTCGTGTGTCGAATGTACTCCATTTTATTTTGTCATGTGGTTGGTTGCACAAGATAAAAAATAATCTGGCTCCAGATGAGTTTGAAATAGAAAGTTGAGTCAATTCATCAAAAACATGTGAGGTCAAAGAATCAGTAGACTGTACCGCAGTCTTTTTTTTTCTATTCCTGGTCATTGAGTCGATGTTAGAAAGGCGTAAATAGCAGAGCAAGATAGTTGAGGCTTCTCCCGTATGGCTGCTGAGGTCCAGGCTGGAATCTGACAGTTCCATGCTATTTTAAGGTTTGGGTTTTTTTTTGTTTTTTTTTTTGCCTGGAAGAAATTCTTACTGCATACCTTTTTGCAGAGGAGGTCAGTGAGGTCTTGTGTCGACAAGTAAGCTGATATTTGACCGCATCATATTGAAACTTGGATGATCTTGCCCTTTGAATTTCTGTCACGTTATCAAAATTTTGACAGGCCTGTTTTCTGCACTCTTGTGTTCCTGCCATCTTTCCTAGGCGGTCAGCGTCCTGTCCAGGTGATCATAACGGAATCTGGCAACCAACCCAACTCCCACCCCATTCAATGGAACGCCCCACCCTCTGCTCACATCGCCCAATACATTCTCAAATGGAGAGTGGTGAGTCTGACATTCAGATAGGATCTCTGGCATTGCCGCCATGGTGCAAACATTTGGAGCACTTTCTTGTTTTCCTTTGGAAAGAAAAACAGCAATAGTGCATGGAGGGAGGTGATGATCCCCGGTCATCTGAACTCCTACACCATTTCCGGATTGAAACCGGGCATCACATACGAAGGTCAGCTGATCAGCGTGTTGCGGTTTGGACGGCAGGAGATCACGCGCTTTGACTTCACCACACATTATGGATCATGTGAGTCGAGAGAGTCCAGGTCTTGCCGTGTGAATCCGATCAATGGGCAAAAGACCATTCTTCACAAATGGGTAGATATTGTCACGCCAGTTTTTGCCGTTGACATTTTTGACACTTTTTTTCTTCTGCCCCTCTCACAGTGGCTACATCACAAGGCGAGACCACACAACCCCCACCTGTGGTGGACACCTCCGAGTCGGTGACGGAAATCACCTCCAGTAGCTTCGTCATCTCTTGGGTCTCTGCCTCCGACACGGTCTCTGGTTTTAGAGTAGAGTATGAACTCAACGAGCAGGGACAGAGCGCTGGGGAGCCAGTGGTTCTGGGTAAGTAGCTTACACCAACTCTCAACTTGGTTAGCAATACATATGCCACAAAATAATCAAGCGCTTTGGTTTCTTTTTGTTCACCACGTGTTTTTGTATATTCCGACTAGACCTTCCCCGTACAGCTACATCGGTGAACATTAATGAGCTGCTACCAGGGAGGAAGTACACAGTCAACGTCTACGAAGTGACTGATGCTGGAGAGGACAACCTCATTCTTTCCACTTCGCAAACCACCGGTGAGTGCATACTTGGACCTACAGTCCCCGAAAATCGTATCTCATCTGAGGCGTCTTTTTGGAGTACTTGCGGAATCGTTTTGAATGTTCTTGAAAGCAAAAGAAAAGATCTTACGCAACATTTGTTCCGTGTTCCAGCTCCTGATGCCCCCGCTGAACATGAAGTGGAGGATATTGGAGAAACCTCGATTGTGATTAGTTGGGATAAACCACTGGCTCCCATCACCGGTACGGCAACTCCTAGTTGATTCATCGCACATGATCTCCCCCTCTGGACGACACCGACACTTGTGCCTATTTTTCCTTTGACGCAGGCTATCGAGTCGTCTACACGCCATCCATAGAAGGCGAAAGCACCGAGCTGACCCTCCCTGATACAGCAACCTCCGTGACGCTGAGTGACCTACGGCCAGGGAAATTGTACAATATTAGCATCTACGCAGTGGAGGACAGCTTGGAGAGCGAGCCCATTTTTGTCCAGGTCAACACTGCTGGGGATCCACTGCCAGGTAACTGAATGGGTGCCATGGCGAAGAATGAGCTTTGGCTTGGTGATTTTAAAGCCTTAAAAGTCACAGTAAGAATGGCTCCTGCAAGGAGCCCGCTTTGGCTTTTCACTTCACGGGGACGAAGGGAGCCTGACTTCAAATCACCCAGCACACCAGTGAATCGTGTGACCTATTTATGTCTCAGTTTGGAAACCTTCCAGCCACCTTTATTATTTATGTTTCCTCGACCTAACGCAGTACATTTGAAACCGTTTTTTTTTTTCTGTGGAAAAGTGACGTCACAGACTTCACAGCCGGTGGACTTTTGTTCTGATTGACAAGAAGTAGGACAAAATTTCCACTCCGCCAGGTCCAACATGTGGTTGGCCCGGTCAGGCAGATGCTAGAAATGCATATGTGCGAGTGTGTTTGCATAACCTGTGCGATGGAATAAAGATGTTGGACCTGGTTGAGAGTGCAGCGCCATGTTTGGAATCTCAATCTGTTATTCCAGATGCTCGAAGGGGAAGTGGACAAATTGTGATGTGGTTTTTGTTACATTTGTTGATTGTTTAGAGCCAATCCTTAGTCTTCATCTCATTTGAACCTCCTATTTGCTTGAACCAAGTTGTAATAAGATTTTATTCAAGATTAGAAGGATATCAGGTTCATTTTACAAGCCCCCAAAAAGATTCTGTCTTCTTCAAGAATGTAAACCTAACACCAGGTGTCTTTTCCCTGTCCGCAGAGGAAGTCGCCTCCCCAACAGACCTGCAGTTTTACGAGGTATCAGATAAGAAAATAGTTCTGACCTGGTCAGGGCCAGCCAGCGACGTTTCAGGTTACCGGGTCACCGTGGTCCCAATGGACGAGTCTGGCTCTCCTCAGAGAGAGATGACTCTACCGGTCAGCCAAAACTCTTACATGGAAGTGACCCACCTCCAGCCCGGAACGCTGTACCGCTTCAATGTGTACACGATTCACAATGGAGAGGAGAGCATCCCGCTGATTGGGGAGCACACCACAAGTGAGTAGGACACGTTTCGCTCAAAGCACACATTTGAAACAACGGGCGGGACAAAGGTATTGGGACAAGGAGGCATTCCAGCGGAAGGAACCGAAAATGGGAGCAAATGTGGCATTCGACTACCTGTACTTCCACATAGATCCAATCAAATCTTTTGGCCCGATTTTTGGGCACTGGGGGACTGCCATGTTGAAAACAGAAACAGTTCCCACAAAATTGATTGATGTAATTGTCCAGAATGTCTTGTTAAGACAATGGGAGGAGGGGACTAAGACATCTGCCGTAGCAGGTTGGATTTCAGTTGACAAATATAAAGAATACAAAATAAGAGGTGTTCAGACACCTTCGTCCACGATCGTGTCTCGTGATTACGCTTTGACTAATAATTCTCAAAACCTGAACGGCCTCGACACCTCTTTTTTGCAGAGCCAGATGCTCCAACAGATATCCATTTCGCCAACGTGACCGAGGACAGCGCTGTGATTCTGTGGTTCGCTCCACGAGCCAAAATTAGCGGCTACCGTCTCTTCCTCAACGTCGAGGGCTCCAACCCGAAGCAGCTACGCCTGCCGGCCCGGCTCACCCAGTACACCCTCCTCAACCTGAAACCAGATACAGTCTACACTGCTACGCTGCACTCGGAGCAAGACAACACGCTGAGTGAAGGAGAGAGAGCCGTCTTTACCACTAGTGAGTACTATGATCGCGATTGCAAAGCGCATTTCTTGGGTCAAAACGTTTCAGCGAAGGGAAAAATGACCCGAGAATTGACTCCCACATGCTTTTTGTGTTTGTAGACCCACCGATGGGTAACGCTCCCCACTTCAGCACCGACGTTACTGACACCTCTATTATAATCTCTTGGACTCCTGTGCCACGCGTCAGCTACAAGGTATGCATATTAGCCTCATTTCATGTGCTAGAACGGGCACAATGCGGAGCTTTCGATGGGTAAAGATGATTTGAGATGTGTTTTTGAGTTCCGAAACAAATGAAACTTGTAAGTCAAGGCAACAGAGTGAAAAAAGGCTTCCATTACGGGCAGGAAAATTGAGCAAGATGTCCCTTTAGTAACACTGGAACTCCAGACTTCTGGGAATGATCAGATTAGTCCAAATATGTCAAACGAGTGATGAGAATGCTCTGCACTCCGTCCGTATTCTTGGGAAAACATTGGCCTCTGACCTTTGCCTCCTGTACACCAGCGCACGTCTGTGGCTTTTCTGTGCCGTGTTGACCCGTGCGTTCATTTATCTCAGTTGACAGTGCGCCCCAGTCAGGGCGGAGAAGCCCCCAGAGACGTGACCTCAGATTCGGGGAGCATTTACGTATCCGGTCTGACTCCCGGAGTGGAATACACCTACAGCGTGCAACCGGTGATTAACGGCAAAGAACAAGGAAGCCCCATCACGCGCCGTGTCATCACACGTGAGTGGAAGTCACTGAATATTGGATTCTCTGTCTTCCTTCTTTACTTTATGATTGATAGAATTTTTCTCACCAGCTCTGCCGCCTCCCACTGAGCTGCACCTGGACTCGAACTCAGGCACCGGAGATATTACAGTTCAGTGGAATGGAGCAAGTACACCAGGTACACACACACACACAAAAAAAATTGGGGGCATGAAGAAAAATGATTACGTTACTCCGATAAACCTTCCAAAAAATGTTCATCCACTGCCTCTTTCTTCCACCCCAAGACATCACTGGCTATCGAGTGACATGCGCTCCCACCAATGGGCAGCAAGGCAACAGCGTGGAGGAATTTGTGCAGGCTGGCGAGAACTCCTGCACCCTTGAGAACCTCAGTCCAGGAGTGGAGTACAACATCAGCGTTTTTACCGTGAAGGATGGCATGGAAAGTGTTCCGATATCAACAACCATCACTCCCGGTGAGTCTTAGTCGCAATGGGGACGAGTATTGAACGTGGGAGTCAGGTGAAGCACAACTTTGATTTGTACACATTTTCAATGCGAGTCATGGGTCCTTCCGGTTATTTTATCCCCTTTTGTCGAGCAAAGCTTTTATTATATCAAATTGAAAGGTAATGCGTTTGATATTACCTTTCAACAATGAACGGATACCAGCTACAATGCTATTCTAAACTAACTAAACTTGCCCGTATCATGACGCCAAACAGTACCGACTGTTTTGTGACACAAATCCTGATTATGGATGAAGGATTTCCTGTGGACAAGTGACTGATAATGCTTTAATGATGTAATATACAGTGATTAAGAAATTTACTAGACCACCATCCATTGCAAGGAAGGTCGCTTTTAATGGTTCTACGTGTTGAAATTGAAAGAGTCTGAATTCAAGCGCGGCATGATGCCAGATAGGCTCGATTAGGCATGGGCAGGTTACAGGTTTCAAGGTATATGGCAATTTTAAAAAACTAAAGCTTTTCATCACCGGTGTTATGTGAAAACAGTATTTTATTTCTGAGCTGTCAGTGCGCAAATTGGCTCTTTTGGGAATTCATCAAGTACCACAGCTTGGTCAAGGAATAATATGACAAAGTGGGCTCATGACTGGTGGCGGTTTCATGAGGAAATATTTCCAATATGATATCTGAACCGCGAGAGGACCACCCATCGCTCTCCGAAAAATGCAAGCTCACCTTAAAACAGCTATCTTGAAGTTCATGTTTGCAACCAGCTACCAAAGTTAGCATCTCTGAACTCCACTTGCCACCAAGGCAGATAACTAGCTAACTAGCATGGCTAGCATCAGTTGCTTTCTGCTTTCACGTGAGTTCCCAAAGTGGAGGAGGGGAGAACTTTTGTTTATTTTCTTTCTATGTTTACCAATGTACCTATCGAGTGCCGTCAATGGAAAAAAAAAAAAAGTTATTTCAAAAGAATACATTTCGATTGGTGCAATACCGTCAAACCGCGGTATTTTTGCTCGCGGCTCTACAGTCAGAATCTGAGACCGGCCTATGCCTAGTTTATATATAAGGTGGTTTAATAAATTTAAGCACTGCATATTATTCAAAGGGCAGCAACAAATATCTTCCATTGGTGTGATATGGTTAATACATATCTCGCTATACTGGAAGTTGACCGTTCTTGGCTCTTTCCTTGACCACTGCCTCTTTTTTGTCTTTTCATCTTTTGACTCACCCACTTTCTGGCCCTCACGATCAACCTCTTCCCTTTTTCTGGACTCTATCTTTTGTTTGTCTGGTGTTCTTTTTGTGGTTTCTTGTTGTCGCCCCCCCCCTCCGCACTTCAACCATCCTGTCACAGAGGTCCCACAGTTAACGGACCTCAGCTTCGACGACGTTAGCGACACCACGATCAGTCTTCGCTGGTCTCCACTCAACACCACAGCCATCACTGGTTACAGAATCACGGTGATGGCGGCGGGCGAGAGCGTGCCCATCTTCCAAGATACGGTTATGCCCACGACCGGACATTATACGGTTTACGGCTTGGAACCCGGTATCGACTATGACATTAGCGTGATTACCGTGACGGAGAACGGAGAGAGCGAACCCACGACGGTCACGCAACAGACTTGTGAGCAAGAGCATTCACAACACCTTTTATGGCTTTAAGTCAATGTAATGAGAACCAATACGAGATCTCGTTTTTCTTCTGTCTTCTGTAGCTGTGCCGGCTCCCACTGATCTGGGCTTTGGTCAGGTAGGACCGGACCTTATGGAGGTCACATGGGTCTCACCGCGCGTCCCCAACAGGGCAGACATCAACAACTTCCTCATTAGGTTTGAACATTAAATGTACTTAACATTCGGTAAAGCGAATTCAAAGATTTGTGTCTAGAAGCGTTACGCACGTTTCTTTTGTTGTTGTTTTGTCATCGGTTTAAGACTAATTGTACACTATGTCCTCAACATGTCATTAGTGGTCCTCTCTCTTTTCTCTAGGTACCATCCCATTGACAACGATGAGGAGCTGACAGAAACCAGTGTCGAGGGCACAATGAACAATGTTGTGTTGAGGAGTACGTTGGAGCCAAAGCAATAATTATCCAGCATTTGAAAACCGCACAATGGAAAGCATTTTCAACATTGTTTTCCTCTCTGGACAGATTTGCTGCCAAACACAGAGTATCTGGTGAGCGTGGTGTGTGTTTACGAGCAGAGAGAGAGCTCGCCTCTCGTCGGTACCCACAAAACCAGTGAGTTATTTGACCCTTTTGCGTTTCAGTCTGTCACATCTCCTCTTCACATTGACAGTTTCTTTGAATTGAAGCGGTAATACCGTTTTGGTATTGACAGAATTGTGTCTCTCCCGACCGTCCTCAGCTCTGGATTCTCCGGTTGCTCTGCGCTTCTCTGAGATCTTCACCACCTCCTTCACCATTCACTGGCTTGCCCCGCAGAGCAAAATCACGGGCTACCGCATTCGTTACCAGATGACCAGCGGTGGAAGAACCAAGGACGAGAGGCTACCTCCTTCTAGAAACCACTTCACCCTGACAGGACTGGCTCCCGATACCGATTACCTGGTTAACGTTTACGCTGTCAGCGGGACACAGGAGAGCCTGCCGCTTAGTGGCCATCAGAAGACCCGTATGAAATCACGTCGTTCTCATTATATGGCGCTGAGATTGTATTTGATCGCTTGACTTGAGCTGTTTTGATGCTTTTTCTCCAGTTTCCGATGCTCCTACAGACCTGGAAGTTCTCGACTCCACTCCCACCAGCATCACCATCCGATGGGATTCCCCTCCCGTCACCGTGCGCTACTACAGGATCACTCATGGCGAAACAGGTCGATTGACACTGACTTTAAAAACCAGTTTGCCGATGATATATGAACATGATCAACAATGAAAAAGAGATCATTAAAATAAGATCATTGTCGGTAGGGATGTTTATGATTTCTGCTTCAAGATTAGCTTTGTGACCAGTGGATTTATGTCCTCCACTCTTATGTTTGTCCCCCTTTGCATCCCGTACTTTGGAGATGAAAACACTTAACCGAACTCAAGTTTAACTCAACTGTCAAAACGTCAGTACGTGCGTAACTTGCCAGTCAAATCTTCTCATCGCCATTTCTGTCACCTTATTCAGGGGGCCACAGTAATCCGAAGGAGTTCACCGTTCCGGGCTCTCAGTCCACGACGACAATCTCCAACCTGCAGCCTGGTACCGACTACACGATCACCGTCTATGCGGTCACTGGCCGAGGAGACAGCCCTGCATCCAGCACTCCCATCTACGTCACACACAGGACAGGTAAGGCGGCACGCACGCACGCTTGTACAAATCTGCATTGCTGGTACCAAACAACTAAGGTTTCTAGCCTTCTTCTGACATGGATCGCATCCTCATCACGCTTTCATTCTTCGTCCTTTCAGGAGTCGACTCCCCTTCTGACATGAAGGTGATGGACGTTAACGACAACAGCGTCACCGTGAGGTGGAGCCCCGCTCAGGGCCCGATCAAGGGCTACAGGGTGACCGGAGTCCCCAGAAACGGACAGGGCTCATCTTTCACGGAAGTCGTGGCTCCGGGTAATGGCACATTCTTCTTTTTTTTTTTTTTTTTTGGTTTTGGGGTGAAATCGACTAGCTCGAAATAATGTTGCCGTTTCCCTTCCCGCTTTTGCTCATCCAGACCAAACAGAGATGACTTTCTCGGGCCTGATGCCAACAGTGGAGTACACTTTTAGTGTTTATGCTCTAGGACAAGATGGAGAGAGTTCTCCGCTCGTGGTGAATGCTCTCACAAGTAAGACTGCGAAAGAACTGCCGTTTTCCTGCTATTTTACAGCATATGTCAGCATTTGAACACTTTCCCCTCCCCCCACCCCGTCTCATTTTTAGATGTAGACCGTCCCAAGGACCTGACCTTCTCGGACATCGACTCCACTTCTTTACGGATTAACTGGGACAGTCCCGATGGAATTGTTACGGCTTACCGGGTCTTGTATTCCAGTTCTGAGGAGGGTGAAAGAGAGCTGCGCCCTTCCCCTAGAGGAGATGCCGAGTCCGCCATCATCTATGGCCTGCAACCCGGCACTGAATACACCGTGAAGGTCATCGCCCTGCATGACGACACAGCCAGCACAGCATTGGTTGGAACGCAAGCTACAGGTGGGGAGACTTTCATTATTTGCGTTCAGAAGCCACGGAATGTGTTTGGAGATTAAATATACCGGAGGGTTTCGGTTTCAAGTCTGCGTGTGAAACTTCTGTTCCACCGTGTCCATTTTGGTGGGTTTTCAGTTGTTTTGTTGACCCGTATCGGAATGAAATTGAAGACCATCTCCCATGATTCATTCCGAAAACTCGTCTTCCGCGTCTCTCTAGCTGACACCGTTTTGCCACTCTTTCGACACAGGGCTCTCGCCCCCCACCAACCTCCAGTTCTCCCAGGTTGGCCCCACTTCCTTCACCATGCACTGGGCCGTGCCGGGTCAAGAAAACAGAATAACGGGCCAGACGGGCCTCACGGGCTACCGTGTTGTTGTGAACCCTAAAAACAAGAGCGGACCCACCAAGGAGATGAATCTGGCCCCGGACACGACAAAGGCCCACGTCACTGGACTCATGGTGAATGTCTACTCAAAAGGAAAGCTTTAGGAGTCGAGAATTGTCATTGAATAATACTTTCAGACTGCAATACTGTTTCATGCATGTAAAAAGTAAGAGTTAATTTTGCACATGCGCTACGTTCAAAGCCGTCGTGATGTCCATTCGTTAACAGTGTCAAATCTGACTTTAATGTTACGACTTCTCTTTTCTCCAAGGTTGCAACGACTTATGACGTTCATGTGTACGCCTTGAAAAACTCCCTGACCAGTAGGCCTATCCAAGGAGAGGTTACCACACTGGAGAGTGAGTTTTGTCCAAAACATTGTCTCAGGCCAATAAAAATAAACACATTTTCAAAGCTGGATGAACAGCATCCGTTGCCGTCTAAAGTTCCTGTCTTATGTCAACCATAAACAAAACAAAACAAACACATTCTCGTGATTATCCCGAGCCGAGAAAACTTAGCGTCTTTCTTCTCTCTGACCTGATTTTTCCATAAGATATCAGCCCCCCTCGTCGCGTGCGCATCACCGACGTCAACGACTCCACCATTACGCTGACCTGGCGCTCCAAGACGGATGCCATCTCGGGCTTCCTGGTTGAGGCCACTCCCACTACCTCTACCACCTTCACGCCAATTCAGAGGACCATCGGCGGCGACTCGCGCTCGTATACCATCACAGGTGCCCGGATGTTAGTTGTTAGATATGCGCATACAGCATTGGAGAGTAATCCTGACCTCTGATCCATAGCGGCACTATTAAAAATACCGGTACACAAATTGGTTCTTCATATGCCGATTTCCACACGACAGGTCTGGAGCCTGGTACCACTTATAAGATTAACATCTATACGCTGAAAGGAAATGGCCGCAGTGCACCTCTTACACTCACCGCGTCCACAGGTAAGCATCACGCATCATTCTGTAGCTTCACTCAAGAATAGTGTTTGACTTGAACCAAAATAAAATGATGTAATAGCGAGTGGAACACACATGACATGGCATGATCGTGATCTTCTACAGCCAAACCGGTGGTCAACCCTCCCACCAATATCCAGTTCACTTCGCTGAACCCCAGCAGCATTTCCTTCTCATGGGAGCGATCCCGCAGCCCGGGCGTTAGCGGCTATTTTGTAACCTATGAGCAGCCCGGTGGTTTGCCTCAAGAAGTCATCCCCAGGCCTCACTCCAGCCAGACCTACGCCATCATCAACGGTGAGTAGGGGAGAGTGAGTCCACTTGAACTCACACAAACAAATGGAAAGATTCTAGGACGGAGGACAAATATTATCTCAAACGTCTGCTCGCAGGTCTGAAACCGGGAACGGAATACGTCATTAAGATTGTCGCCCTGCAAAATACTTTGAGAAGCATCCCTCTCGTGGGCAAAGCCAGAACCCGTAAGTACTGGACTCGCCCACCTGCACTTGTCGATGCCACGACACATGCGAACTCAAGTTGAGCGGAAATTATTCCGCCATCGCGTTATTGGCGGCAAGCCAGGAGCAAAGTTTGCAATCGGTTATTGTGATGCCTCTACACGTGGTCAAAGGATAGATTTGTTGGATTTCCCGCTGTTTGGCTTGGACGACTGCGCAAACCCCGCCTGCAATAAAACGGAATTGGATGCGCAATGTACATTTTTGTTTGTTCTGTTGACTTTATTTTTCTTATTGTGCTCAACCAGAGCCAGCTCTGAGTCATTCTATCCTGGTCCCCGAGCTGCCTCAGCTTCCTGTTTCTCACCGACCCACCACAGACATATTGGACGTCCCAGAGCCCTTCAATGACAAGATGTACGAATGTGGAGGATCATACACACAACACGCCGTCGAATAACTAGCTGCTGCGTAGCTCTCTCAAACCCCGTTTTTTTTTTTTTTTAAATGCATTCAGCTTTGACTCCAACCATGTCCACTTGGCCGGCACAAGTGGGCAGAACCGACCAGGACAGCAGGGTCAGCACATCTACACAGAGTATCAGAACCTCGGTCCCAACAATGGACTTTACGGCCCCCGAGGTGGACCCAAAGAAGGCCAAAGACCAATTCTCAGAGAACCTCTCGTCTACATTCCCGTGGCAGGCCCTGATGGAAACAGAGTGCCCTTGGTTAAGGTGTGTTATTCACCAACAAAACAGCTACGCTTCATTCTGAAGTCCACAAGCTGTGACCTCAATCGCTGTTTTCCTTTCATCGGGCAGGTGAGCGAAACACCTCTGCCGGGCCTTGGGTTTGGTTTCCCCGACAATGAGACTGAATTGCCCCAAGAAGCGCAGACCGTCACGACCATCTCTTGGCAGCCCATCCCGCACACCTCAGAGTATGAGGTGTCGTGTAATCCAATTACACACATGGAGGAAAGAGGCTTTCAGGTACCCAATTTCAATTTGAGACCATGGCGTGAGGTCACATGTACTTCCGGGCTGCAAGAATCTAGTAAACCCCTACATCATCCGGCCCGGGCAGAACGATTGAGAAAACAAGTGAAATGGCGCCGTTTCATGTGAGAAGTGTGAGTCAAAAAGAAGATGATCATGGAAATTGGGGGAAAAAAATAACTTTGGGGGCGTATCTGGCAGCAAAACCCTAAACGCAACCAGATTCGGTTGTAGTTTCAAGTCAGCTGGTCAGACGTAGCCAACTGCTTTTTTTTCCAAGGTGCCGATTGTTTCCAAACATTTCTGCAAAGGTCTATGAGGCAGGGATGACTGATTGCACCTTCTCCACAGATGCGTCTTCCTGGCACCTCGAACAGTGCCACTCTGATTGGGCTGACATCTGGAGCCTCCTATAATGTGGTTGTGGAAGCCATGAGGGGCGGGGCTAAAGAGAAGGTTCTGGAGGAAGTTGTCACCGTAGGCAATGCAGGTACAGTACAGTCCATAAATGTATATGCTCATTGAATTTCCCTCTACGCATGATGCCATTAAGTCAGAATGTAACGTGCGGTTCTTGGTTTCCTCTTAGTTCCAGGTGACATCCCCATTTCCACCCACCGCGACGTGTGCTACGACACCTTCACGCACACATACCACGAGGTGGGCTCGGAATGGGAGCGCATGTCCGAGACGGGCTTCAAGCTGTGGTGCCGCTGTCTGGGTCTGGGCAGCGGCCATTTTAGGTGTGATTCATCCAGTGAGTGGCTTATTAACACGCACCCCAGCATGCTTTGCTAACAGGAAGCACGCCATGGAATTTGAATATTCTATGTGATTTAACCGATGAGGAATTTATAAGGAAAGAAAAAAAAAGGGACTTCAGTTCATGAAAACGTGATCCAATTCATTTGGTTTTGATTGATCTTTCCTTCAGCACCACGTTCAAAGTTTAGCGCCGTCAGACAAAATCTTCCCAGAGGAGAGAACGTTCCTACTGCGTATTATAAATTCCTAAAAAGCTATGCTCTGCCTCAGTGTGTAAAAATGACATTTTTATGAAAGAGGGCAGACAGCAAAGCTAAGCTAGGCTAGGCTAAGCTAACACAGCCACAATCTCCCTTCAGTTGTTTGCATTGTCCAAACAGCTAGCATGATATCAAAACCCAAGTTCATCGTCCATCCGCAAACCAGCTGGAACCAGCGAATCGTCACCGTATTCTCCACAGTCAAAATTCATGTCTGCGCTTTTTATCTCCCCACATTTTGAAACATACAGCTCCATTTCTGTCTTCATTTTTTTCATCCTCTCGCCGCATCTTTTCCCGCCACCTCTCTCTCCTTCAGAGTGGTGCCACGACAGTGGCAACAATTACCGCATCGGCGAGAAATGGGATCGCCACGCCGAGAACGGTCACATGATGAGCTGCACCTGCCTGGGCAACGGCAAAGGAGAATTTAAATGCGAACCCCGTGAGTGTGGACACAGAAGGCGCGCAAGCGCAGGCGTGAACTCGGAATATGAGCTCAATGTTTGTCGTCGTAAAATGCATCAGACCTGCAACTTTTTTTAACAAACAGATGATTCCACATGTTACGATGACGGCAAAATGTACCGCGTTGGAAACCAGTGGCAGAAAGAATACTTGGGAGCCATTTGCACCTGCACCTGCTACGGCGGTCAACAGGTGGGTTTCCGAGTGGCCAGCGCCACTCATGTGATCAGGTTACAGGGTGCACGAAAGGGTGAAATGAAGTGTGTATTCTTGCGCATATGGAAAGTGAAGCCTCAAGCTTGCGCGAGCCACGTGATTTGTCGACTGATTCACGTTAACAATCGCAGGGGTGGCGTTGCGAAAACTGCAGGAGGCCAGGGGGGCAGACCCACGTGGATGCTGACCTGCTTCAGCCTGTCCACTCCGATGTCTTCGATCGCTACAGAGAAAACGCTCAACGCAAACTGGTTGGTATTAAAATATGATCATCATTGCAATCAAAGAAAAGTCAGGAAAAGCCCGCTCAAAGCGCTGAACTTTTTTTTTTTTGAGGCGGTTGCTCTTCAGCTAGAATCGGGGCCTCGGACAAAGTGGAGGGAATTATGAACAGTTCCAAGTAGCAGTCAATTGCGTTTTTTTCAGTCATGTTACTTTTTGTAACACATAAACATTTCTCTACTGAAGATAAACATACTGTGTATGTCCCGCCCACTTTTCTTCTCCTGTTTCAGAACATCCACTGTCCAATTGAATGCTTGAGTCCCGAACTGCTCGCAGATGCTCAAAGCCCCTCAAAGTAGTGAATGGCAAAATGAAGAACTCAGACGCCTTCCAGCATGGCGACCACTTCAAGAAGGACACCTCCTCTTGTCACTAAAATTAGACGTTTCTATCACAACCGTGCCTTCACCACATTAGCGCCTTCGGACTATTTCCACCAAACCTTGGTGCTTAGTTTTTTTTTTTTCCAAAAAAAGATCCAGATGACATTTTTGTGCCGGTTCTTCAGTCACAGCAGACATTTTTTGCATTGGAATCCTTTTTGACACACAACTATACAGACGTAGATGAAACGCATTCAAAGATGACACAGTACTGTTGCACCAGGTCTTTTTCTACTATATTTGTATTCGTATCTTAAAGTCACAAAAATGTTCCACTGAGTCCCAAAGGCTCAACGTTTAGTTTGTCTCTGTGAGTGTATTCCAAAACTCTATGTTGGCTTTGCAATGAAGAAGATAGGAATGTCTAACCGTGGTAAATATTCAAGAATGCCAAGAACCAAACTTTCTCTCAAAAAGATACGCACTGCTACTTGTGAGATGCGATGAAACGCCACCCCACACCTTGCTCGTCTACAGCACACTCACTCCATTTTCCTCCTTATGTAAAGCTGAGTTAAAAACTCAAAAGGTGACTGACCAAAAAGGAAAAGGTTGAATTTGTTGTTTGAAAATGTCACCGTTATTTTGAGCTGAGATGTATTTTCATTTCTCAATTGTTTGCTTTTCTTGTTTTGTTTTGTTTGTTTGTTTTTTTTTAATTTATCCCTTTTTATTCAGGCATTTTGTTCAATGTTATTTCAGGGTTGTACACTTTGTTTTTTTGTAATGGTTGGTGCCAAACTGAACTACTGTGGATCTTTTTAATAAACTGACAAACACAACAATCCGTTGTTTCCTCTGATTCTATGAGAAACGAATAGAGTCCAGTGTGTATTCGTCGATGGAAGTGAGGTGCAAAGTCTAAAACTTTGACAATCTGTGTGCAATATAACCACATGACATTCAATTACTTGCATTAGATCGACAGAAAACATCAATGGAATTGAATAGTATAGCCTTGCTGTAAACTGCAGTGTCTTTGTCTGCTGTTTCAAATTCCATGGTAGACTTTTTTTTTGTTGTTGTTTTTTACCGGTATGGGCTCTCGAGACTTTTTTGGTGGATCTTGAGGGGTACACACATGCTAATAATCAAAACTTTAGGCACATGTAGACAGTTATTTGTAGAATAAGAAATAAAATGTTCTTTGTTGATCCGGGCTAATTTGAGCATTTTTTTTCCCTCTTCCAATCAAAGTCAACAAAGGCCCAAATATTGGATGTCTCTCAAAGATTATCCGATGACTACTACAAACTACTTCAAACTATTACTAATCCAAACTGACACAACTACAAAATACCCCTAAAACCGGGAACTACTTCTGGTACTACTCCCACTCTTAATACCACTACACTACTTCTATTTTATTTTTATTTTTTTTGCTGCTGTCTTTTTTAAATTTACTCACTGATTTTCTCTTGTATTTTACTGCTTGTATAATATACTACAGTGTTTTGTTTATCACCTTGTACCTTGGACGGTGCAATACAAATACAATAATAATAATTATTATTTTCCTTTCCTGCTGTATGAACGCCGCATGGTACCGTGCTGCCTCCCATTGGTCAGTTGTGGTACTACGACTAACTCGATTACGTGTGTGGTGTTGGTGATCTCTGACTCTGAGCAATACACCACAAACCGTCTGAGCAGCGAAAACAAAATACATCGATTCCCACCCGCTCTCGTTCCACATTTTAAAAATAGTTAAAACTTACGCGAGATGGAAAATCTTATGTTGAGGCGAGCAGAAGCGGAAGTAGGTGGGCTCCCCTCCGCTAGCTTGGTGGAAGTCGTGTTGACGTCTCAAGTTAGCAAGAGCAGTTCAACTCCACTGAGCGACAAACATGGCCAACAATTGCATGGACGCGTTTATTCTGAAGCTGCAAGATGTGAACGCGGTCAAGTTTGGCGAGTATAAGCTCAAGAGTGGCTTGATGACGCCCATTTACATCGACCTGAGGGTCCTCGTGTCCCACCCGGCTCTCTTGAACCAGGTAAACACGTGTGCCAATTCCACACGTGCGTCAAGTTGGACTCTTTTTTTTTTTTTTTTATCTGATTATCTGGAACCCTTATTATAAATAATATATCCTCGTTACAGCCATTTTCCACATTAATTGACTGTTTTCTTGTTTATTTATTGTTTACTTTTGGCATGTGATTTTTCACTAATGATATCGTGCGTATCAATAAGAAAATCGATCATTTCGTAAGCTAAGTAATGCAGGCACTGCATCCCCCCGCCCCTCATTTCTCTCAAGTTCGAACAAGCTATAGTACGAGGTCTCGTTCACAACGATATTTCCACCATATGGTATTATAATTATCGCGACATTGCGGGGAGGTTGGCGATATTTTAAAAAATCACCATACTGAACTTATATTGTAAAAAAAAAAAAAAATCATAAAGTTAGAAAAATAAGCAAAATATTGCGTTTTTTGTACATAATAGCTGCAGTGACAAAGAAATAGGCTTGGCCAAGCATCTTACTGTTATGTATTGGCTGAGTGGCGCAAAATATCGTGATCAATGTAGTTCACAATGCTGTGTTCAACCGAAGCGGCTGAAAAGTCATGTTTTTGATAGAGATGTGCAACTTGTAATATTTTAACGTGACAGTGATTTTTAATATCGGGATATCACCGTTATCGATACAGCCCTAGTATTAGTATCAGAATGAATTTACTGTCATTGTCTGCAAAAGGTAAATTCACAACTATAATTTTTTTTTTTGTGGTGGTCCGATGGTGCAACACAGAGCTTAAACGGTATTAGTTATATGGACTAAAAAAAAAGGAAAACAATGTTCCATAGCATAATAGCATGTCAAGCGTACATGCTCAGTTAGACATAATACATTCTCTGATGGAAATTTCAGCTGTCATACCTGCTTTCATCTGTTGACATTTTCAGGTGTCAAAGCTCATGTACCAAAGAGCTCAAGATGAGAGTCTGCAGTTTGACTCGGTATGTGGTGTTCCCTACACTGCCTTGCCCATGGCCACCATTATCTGCTCCACACATGAGCTGCCCATGCTCATCAGGCGCAAGGAGGCCAAGGACTATGGTAGGAGGCACGATCTTCAAACTTGAGCACATAAAAAAAAACGGAAATAATAATAAATTCCAAATGTTGTGTCTCTCTTAGGAACCAAGCGTCTGGTGGAGGGCTCGTATAAAGAGGGAGATACGTGCCTCATCATTGAAGACACGGTGACCAGTGGCAGCAGCATCTTGGAAACGGCTGAAGTGCTGCACAAAGAAGGACTGAAGGTGCGGTAGGACTGAAACACTTCTGAAAGCCAGTCTTGTTGGGCAGCACAGACATAAAAAAAAAAAAAAAAATACAACAAAAGAAAAATCTTCAGGAACAAGCGGAAAAATCAGCAGTGGCATTCAAAGCAAAAATAACATTCATAAATGTCCTCTTGACCTGAACACCGACTAACACAGAGAGACTCGAGCACTATATTCATATACTGTGCATATATGAACATATAGCATCAGTAGCCCAAATAATAAGATTTAACAATTGACACGTTGACTTTTTTTTTTTACTTCCTTTGGTTGACATCCAAAATCCAAAGCGCTAACACATGCGGCGTTTGCGTGTATGAAAGGTGACAGATGCCATCGTGCTGATGGATCGCGAGCAAGGCGCGGTGGACATGCTGGCTTCCAAGGGCATCCGGCTCCATCCCATCATCTCCATGTTCAAGCTGCTCGATGTGCTCAAAGCCGCCGAGCGCATCGACGCGCACACCGCCCAGAGCGTTCGCAAGTTCATCCTGGACAACAACACCTTCAGGTACGCGTCTTCACGTCTCCGTTTGACCGTCCGTCGGCGAACGCCATCCGTGTCATTTGACTGCGTTCGTCAGCGTCAAGGAGGAGAATGGAAATGATGACCCGGCATCGAAGAAGCAACGTTTGGAACGCGGCTTGGAGCTGAGCTATGAAGCCAGAGCCAAACTGCCAAGTAGGACTCGTTTTTTTTTTTGTTTTTTTTTCTGCGGGCAGCCTAACCACAAGCATTCAAAGCATTGTTTTCTCGTGTCCGCAGATGTTCACCCTCTGGCGTCGAAGCTACTGACCGTCATGGCGGAGAAGCGGTCCAACCTTTGCCTGTCTGCGGACGTCACGAGCGGCGAGGACCTGCTGCAGCTCGCAGACGCTCTGGGTCCGAAGATTTGCGTATTGAAGACCCACGTCGATATCTTGAAGGTAGTCGCCGGGGTTGACGGAAGAATTTGTATCGTGAAAATTCCGTAAGATAATAAGCTACTTGTGGCGTACGGGGGCAGGACTACACTGAGGCTTTCAGCCAGAAGCTGCAGGCCGTCGCTGAGAAGCACAACTTCCTGATCTTCGAAGATCGCAAGTTCGCCGACATTGGGAACACGGTCAAGCATCAATATGAAGGTGAGAGGTGAAATGATTTTTTTTTTTTTTAAGACATCGGAAATTAGAGCTTTTTCCAAAACCTTTGTAATGAAACCAGCTTTTAATTCCTGGTCAAGAAACTCGTCTAGACTTTTTTTTTATTGTTTTTGAAATCCTTTTTTGAATTATTTTGTGTTCCGCAGGTGGTTTGTACCGCATCTCGTCGTGGTCCCACATCGTGAACGCTCACCCGGTGCCAGGATCCGGCGTTGTGAGGGGCCTGGCGTCTGTCGGGCGGTCCCTGGGCCGAGGCTGTCTGCTCATCGCGCAGATGAGCTCGCAAGGCTCGCTGGCGACCGGCGAGTACACCGAGGCTACGGTAAGCATCGCCAGTTGGCCAATCAACCACTGAAAAGCGCTGGCATCTGTGGAGCAAGGAGACATAGTTATGAGGAATTGAACCAAACTTTTTTTAAGGATAAGGCAAAGCTGCTTTTTTTTTGTGTGTGTTAAATAAACTGGACAACAAATTTTTATTGAATTTTTTCGCCATTCATTTTTGGCACTGATTCAAAATTTGCCCTTTTGTTTTCTCCAGCACATCATGTTTTCATCATAATTATATGAAAATTAAGAGTTAGGTTCAGCAAAATGTTGATTATATATTTAGTTTTTTAATATATGTGAAACATCACAGTTATGAATTGCATCGCGTGGTCAAGTATCTCAAAAAGCAGAGTGCGAGGGGGGGGAAAAAAGTAGACATTTTTTAAAAATCGGCGTCAAAAATATGTTTAGGGACACATAAAGCCATCTCTGATTAAAAATTTCTGTTGGCCAGTGGTCTTTAATGTTTCCCCACCTCACTTCAAGTACTGCCATGCCCCCAGATATTAGCGAGCCCCCTGAGAAGTCAGTTTAGCTTCATGCTAACAAATTATGCTAAGCACCATGTCAGCCTAACAAAGAGCATCAGCATCTTACCTTTTAATCCACGGATATTTGGTCAAGCGTCACATCGTACGACAATACTCGAAGGCATTGAAAACATTTCAAATGTCTCTTGGATGTATTTGTTTTGAAGTGTTTGAAAGGGGAACGCGGTTGTCACGTGATTGTTCGGATGGAGCTCAGGTGTTGTGTCTCCACAGGTCAAAATGGCCGAGGAGCATTTTGACTTTGTCATCGGCTTCATCTGCGGCTCGAAGATCACAAAGAGGCCCGAGTTCATCCACATGACCCCCGGAGTGCGAATGCAGGCTGGAGGTGTGTACTCCCTTTTGTTGCCAGTGGGTTGAATATAAATGTGTGTGTTTGTGTTATGTTGATCGGGCCGCAAATTTGGATTATTAATATACAGATTGTACACTGACTCCTTTTACATTGTAGCGTGAAACATGACACTTGCCTTCTGGGGATAAGGTAGTAATTGCACTTAAACAAAAGGTGGCGCTGTGGTTTAAAATGTTTTGGATTTGCCATCCAGGTGCCAGTGAGTTCATCTTTTTCCTCCCTTGCTTCCTTTTGACCCATCCCCCCCTCCCGCAGGAGATGTCCTAGGCCAACAGTACAACACCCCAGAGGAGGTAATCTACAACAAGGGCTCTGATGTCATCATTGTTGGACGCGGGATCCTGGAGGCCTCCGATAGGCTGGCCGCTGCCGAGGCTTACAGGAAGTCCGGCTGGGAGGCGTACACACGGAGGACGGGGACGAGTGAGCAATAGGAGCTCAACTCAAGGGATTTCGTTTTCACTTTTTTTTTCTTTTTTATTTGTGTGCGTCAGCACGTCAAACTTAACACTAGCTTCCTGCGATCAGCATAGGTGGTAGTTGGATATCTTGTCGTTGATAAAAGCTGCTCTCCTGCTTCTCTTATTGTCTGCTGCTTTGACGCTGTTGGACCTTTGAGTTTCGCTATTTTGGCAGGATTTCTTTGTACCGTATTGTTTTCTTCCACTCCTTTGCTTGACCAGGAGTTTGATTCATTCTGCTGGTTTTGCTTCCCAACTATGTATGGGCTTTAATTTACAGTCTTCAGAGGGAACACTTTATATTCATGACTGTCTGGGATTGCTCAAAAATGACGAGGGTTGTATCCAGTATTTGTAATAACCCGTTGCTTTTGTTTTTTTTTAAATTGTTTTTAAAAAGCAGCTACGATCATTGACCAATCCAAATACTTAATGCTGTGATTCGGGTGAGGGAATTCGAAATGTTTTTTTGGGGTCTCGACTGCCTTTCACATTGTCAACCTTGAATAAAAAAAAAAAAAATCACGATTGCTAAAACTCCAACTCCTGTTTCTGAAACTAACATTGAATCTAAAAAAAAAAAACCTACATGATAATGCATTCTATGATTTAATTTGTATTGTTATGATTATAATTATAAAAGCGAAAGTCCGCGAGACAAAAAAAAGGGCAAATTCTGAAAGCGAGCAAAAATGTACCGGTACTTGATTTTTTTTTTAAAAATCATGAACAATTGTTGACCAGTGTTAATCTTATCGAATACTGCACAACTGAATTTAATCTCTCTCAAATTCAGTTAACTTTGGAGGGGAAAAAGTTTCACGTTTATTCAAACCAAGAATCCTATTTTTAACCGCATGCTTACTTAAGCTAACTTCCCCCCCATCATAATTTCATCAAAATATTTTATGCCGTAACTGACATTTGTGTTGCTTCCTTTTTAAACTTTACAGACCTACCACACTCCCCCCCCACCCCCACACTCGTGTATAATTTCTCGTCGCAATTGTGATTAATAATAAAATATAAATCAAAAGAATACAAATGTAAATAAGACCTCTGTTGACTTGTTTTATTCCAACGAGACGCTCGGATAGGCAGAAAGGTCACGCACACGTTGCCTGGCACATCGGAGAGAGATGACTCTATTAGTGTGTGTGGGGGGGGGGGATCACCTCACTCCAACCCCTCTCCCCCTCCCTTTGTGTCAATATTGGATCAGAGCAACGCACCGTGCGACAGGTGTCTGTGCGCGCCCCGAGGAGTTTCTCTGCTTTTCATCCATCTTGATGGGAGGAGGGCGAGAGAGAGAGAGAGAGAAGTGGGGGTGGGGGGTGGGGGTGAAGAAGTATAAAAGCTTATTCCTGTTCCTGACAAGAGTTCAGTGCGCGCACAAGGTGAGGCCAAACAAAGCCGTGCGCTTCCATCACGCTCTTCCTTTTTTTCCTCTTCTCCTTTTTGAAAGGTAAGTTTGTCGCCGATGTCCGTTTCCTCCCACTTTTCTTTTGTTTTTTGTTCTAACTTGACCAAACGTGTGCCCCCCAAAAGGTCCGGCGCGGCGCGCAAAAGACGCGCCAGCTGTTGGGAGAGCAACCGTGCTGCAACTTGTGCGCAATTTGGAGCGCAAGACTTTTGCCACGCTCGTCCGTATTTGCTTCACGTTGAGCCCCACGTACAATACCTGAAGGTGACGTTTTGTTCGTTCGGCTCGCGTTACGCAGGTACGGGTTGACGACTGGAAACGTCAAGTTTGAGTGTTTGCTGCGCCTCAGTGATGTGGGAGTCCACCCCCCCATCCCTTCAGAATAAACCCTCACTTCAATTTAAGAGCTGCAAAACAAGCTGTTGCGTTAACCTCAGGAGAAGTTGATGGTAATTTTTGCATGAAGCCCAACGATAACAGCTGTCAAACTTGTTCTACTTAGTGTGCGAGCACAGAAGAATGCCAGCCAATTTGAATGTGTACACATTTGACAAGGTTCAAATAAAGAAAAGGAAAACTAGAAATGTATTTTATTGACAGAAGGTGTCTACTGGGTCTTTATTTTGTTGGGGGGGGGCTCATAAAGGCAGGTGGACCGGTGGAGAGCGTGTCTGCCTCTCAGGCGAGAGGTTCTGCATTTGAATCTCATTTGGATGTCCCCACTTATGTTTTTTTTCATTTATTTATTTTTTAAATGATGTATTCTCTGGATTTCTTCGCAAAATATGCATGCTAGTTTCAATGAAGACTCAATATGGTCCATAGGTGTGAATGTGAGTGTGACCACAACCAGTCCAGGGTGTACGCCACGCCACCAGCCCAAAGTCAGCTGGGATCGGCTCCGGTTCTCATGTGAGGACAAGCACGATTGAAAATGTGGATGGAAGTTTTTTTGTTTTTTTTTAAAAATCACCAAAAAATGCACCATATTGTTCAGCTGATAGCAATATTGCCTACAATTTTGTATGTCATTTTTAACTTATTGTCAAAGTTTCAATAAAAATAATACAAATGTGCCTATGAAGAACTGTGTTTTCTTTTTCTTTATGATTCTTAGTCATCAAACTCATGGTCATCTGAAAAGGGTGAATCGCGGCAGTTGGAGTTTTTTTTTCCCTCCCCTCCCAAAAAATAAATAAAAAAAGACTTCAACATTTACATAATTAGGCTCCAACAATCAAAATTATTTTCCCTGTTGACTGAACATGAGCTCAATTGGAAATGCGCTCTCTGAATACACACACTCACCATTTCACATGGAATCTGTCTTATATCTGGGAACAGAATATAAAAAGTGGACATTTCCAAGAGCAGGGATGCTAATCTGGGTAAGACCCCCCATCCCCGCCCCCCACCTTTCACGCCTTTTGGATAATCATTTTCCAAGTGGCACACTCATGGTGGTTGTTTTTTCCATCGCCGTCCACTTTGTACGTCATCACCCGAGGCTGCAGGCGAGCACCGCAGAAGTCAGAGATGGACTTAATGGGTGGGTTATGTTAATAGTTAACTAAACATTACCCGCACACACACCCACACACACACACACACACACACACACACACACACACACACACGCACACACACACACACCTGCCCATCTGTCATTTGGACTCATGCGGTTTGCAGCCATCCCTCGCATTGAGCAGTTTAGTTTGACTTTGTGCTGATTTTGAGTTCTCATCCCTCACTCTCACTTCTCTTTGTTACTTTATGGACACTGGAGAAAAAAAAAGGGGTGCGTTGAGTGGATTTTAGTTCAAGTGGTTACACGAAATAAAAGCATCTGGATCCAAATCATTTTTTGTTCGGGGTAGGGGGGTGGACACCTTAAAACCTTTCAACGAGTTCTGTCTGCCACGAGCGCTGCTTTGCATGGTGGAGTTGGCAAAAAAAAAAAAAAAAAGTGGAGGGCCCAAATGCAGGAAGGCAAGGAATGAGTGCAGATGTCTTAAAAAGCAGTATTTATTTTGAAGAAAAAAATGTAAAGAGGCAAACAATGTATATAATAGAATCAAAACATTAGATCAGAGACACCCCTGCCCCCCCACAATGTGCCCTTCGCTCATAGGAGGCTAGTTTAGGATTTCTTTTATTTTTTTCACCATTTATTCACCCTTTGTGGTTAATTGTTTGCATTTTGCCTTCCAAAAGTCTCAGGATGGAGCACCTCTGAATAGTAACAAATCAAATCTTAAAAACTCTAAAGTGAAGAGAGGCCAGAGTTCGATGCTCCCTCTTCGGTGTTCCAGTTAAGAAGTGAGCGGCAGCATTTTGACCCAACTGGAGACATTTGAGGGAGGACTGGCTGACTCAAAAGCACAACGCCTTCCAGTAATCCATCCAAGATGCGACAATGTCGTTGACTACGGTTTCAAACTGCTGCTTTATAAAAAAAAAAAAAAAAAAAGGTTCTCCTTTGCCTGACTACCAAGGTGGAAAAAAAAAAGATGGATTCAACTCCCGCTGTGCTGCTACAATGTAAGTCAGTTGTGAACTGTGTCCAAAATGTGAAGAGTCATACTTGCGCTTCAGCCTCCCAAGTAATGTGAAAAGTCAATTTGTGTGGTGTTTGCATAGCATTAGCATACGCAGCCTTGCCTCCGTATGCACACAGCAAAAAAAAAAAAAAAAAAAAAAAAACCCCCACC